CACTACCGGCCGGCACCTCCGCGCTCTCGCCTCCCCTCCGCTGCTCCACGCGGCGGCGGCTTGGACGGGGTAGGCTCGGCGCACGAGGACAACTGGGTGTGGTCGCCTCAGGGCGAGGTTGCCATGCACGAGCCCGAGACGTGGGCGATCGTGCAGTTCGCAGAGGGAGGCGCCGCCGCCGCCGCGTCCCGGCCAGCCTACGACGAGTGGCCGGCGAGGGCGCTCGCGCGGGCGCTGTACCGGGCGCAGCGCTCACACCGTGCGCAGGCGGCGGCGGCAGCGGTGCGGTTGCACACAAGAGGGGCCGGTTTCGCCACGCCGCCGCCGCCCTACACCGCGGACTTGGCCGCCCTCGACCGGCTCGCGGAGCCGCCCGGCGTGCTCGCCGCCTGCGCGTCCGCGGCGACGCGCGTCGATCTCGCGGCCGGAGGCGAGAGCTACACGGCGAGCGTTGGAAGTGTTGTCGGCCCCCGCAGCACTGTCGTGCAGGTCAACGACCAGCGCTTCACCACCGTAACGCGTCGCGCGGGGCGAGGGGCGGAGCTCACAGCCCTCGACGAACTGGTTTTGACCTGACCGTTTGCTTTTGTGTACACCGAGGAATAAATAAATACAACGGACATCCCAAGCTAGGGCTGGGTCGAGGACAGACACGTCCCCACCTTTGCAGGATTTTGCAAAAGCGAGGGGGGAGGGCGCATCGCCGCGCGGAGAGGGCTGGGCACAGGGCACAGGGGATCTCTCTCGCATAGGATAAGCACTCGGCGGCACGAGGGCAAGGCTGGGCGTCCTATGTTTGTGCTCCCCCCCGGACCCCTCGCTCTCGGGCACTAACCATCTGACCACTCATCGACGGGGCTTGGCGAGCGGCCGCGCTGCGGGGCAGGGCTGGTGAGAATGGGCTCTGGCCACTCGCCCGTGCGGTTGTAACCCCGCATCTGTCGGACAGAGGCCTCGACCGCCCCTCGCGGCAAGCTCTCGAGCATCTCGAGCAGCTCGCCCGCCGCCATCGCCGCCTCGAACTGCTCCCTCATGCCGAGCGCGCCGCATACCCTGCGGACCGCCTCCTGCTGCACCTCGTCCGGCGTATCGGTTTCATAGCCGGACGAGTCAGCGGAGGCGGCCCGCTTGGCGGGCGGAGAGTCGGGCGACGGCGAGCGCGACTGGCGCGAGGGCCCGCTGCCGCGCGCGGACAGCGCGTTCTTGTCAA